AGGCTATGCTTGGATTTGATGAAACGCACAACAAACTGCAAAGGGTTGGGGCCTCAGAGCATGCTCTGCACGTGAGCACCCGTGAGCTTACAGCCGCGCCGGCAATTGTGTGCAGACAAGCGTAGCATGCCAGGTATACAGAGGTGCATAACTGGCTGAAGGACCCGACCGCCCTTGTGCTTCATTCCTTCTTGGTTAAGGAGTAGGTTCTCGTACATTGATCGAAGGAAACTTCTCGGAACTGGCCAGGAGCTACTGGAAGGCAACGAATCGGGGCTGCCCGCTTATGACCAAGTCTGGGCAGAGCCGACTTACTTAAGGAGGCCGATCCGGCAACGGCCTGTTGTGTCTTGGGAATGGCAGGTTGACGCGACTCAGAAGCAGAACGGGATACTGAAGGAGACGCCGCACAACCGTGGGCAGAATGTGCGTTGATTCTGAACCATTGAGCAGACCCTCTGCAATGTTGGGTTGATGGTGGCAGGACCTGTATGAACAGGACCTGAATCAGGCGCAGACGAGAGAGCCCACGAATAACTTATACCGAAGGGGTCTACTCAATGCGAGCCCAGGCCAAAGCATCTCAGATGAAGGAGAACATCCGACAGCGCCGATCTTTGCTCCTACGTAGGAGGGAGGAGTTGCAGAATACCTGGCACCTTTTCTACGCAAGGTGCTACCATCAACTCACGAACCTCTGCCTGGAACAGGGCGACTACCCGACTGCCGGCGCCTTGTTACCTTCCGAGACATGCCGAGTCCGCGAGATCTCCCGATTCTGTGAGGCTGAGAAATACTTGGCGAGGAGCCGCGAGTTCTGCACAGAGCCACAGGCGGGCCTACGATGTCCTACGGGCACAAAAATTGGCAACGCATAGATTCGGGTTTCTTTTTTTTGGCCGTGATCGAGATGCAATGATTGTTAAAGCATGCTTTCAACAGACACAGCTGTGACTAACGTCCATCTTGTTTCAGTGTACTTTAGCGTCTACTGGCTCTGTCTTTGGACCATTGGAGGCAGTGTTTGCTACCTGCATGACGATCATCAGACTGCGTGTTCTGCAGTGCAGACCTGAGAGCGGCTAAATGACTTTTACTGGCCTTGACGGCATGGTTTGTAGTGTGCAAACCCCTGACTTAGGCGTCAGTACTCCGACATCCAGAATTTCACCAGCAAAGCTCACCACACTCCCTTCAAGGCACGACACAATTGCATGCTGAAGTCAGAAATAGTCGAGCCAGGGGTTCAACACACCAACAGGACGAAGCGAGCCAGTCTCGCATCTTCGCATCATATGGTCTGTGCTGCGCTCTGCTACAGCCACCAGCCGCCATCAATGTCATGCAAGGCCACGCATGGCCCCGACCAAGGTACAACATGACCGCTGGCAAGTACAAAGAAGCTGCCACGAGCTTCTCGCAGGTCAAGCCGCAGGACGTGTAACAGCTCGGCATAGCTGGGCATGCAGATCGGCTGGGCAAAGCTTCCAACGGCATGAACATAGCGTAGTCTTCTGAACAATGTTTTTGGCAGGTTCCCCGGCTGCTTGAGACCATTTCTGGACGCGTTTGACATACATAAGCAACGTGAAACTGTTCTGCTTGCGAAAATCCTCAGTCCGCGACGAAGTGTAGTTCGAAGGGGCACGTGTCGGAGGGGAGGGGGCGCGACACCACTTATTGCGCCGCTGCATTGTATGACTTTCGACGTATTCCTTATGGAAGACGAAAACAACGTGATGTGCACCCGTGCAGAGTTCTTTGCTAGGGGTCGTCTCTGTTGCGCGGTCCAATGCAACGGCAACAGCCGGAACTGACCTTTCTACCCGGGCTAGTGCAACATGCGATTGCCATGACGTTTCTGTCTTGCAATGAGTGGCACAACGGCCGAGGGATCGACACAATACGAGTCTGCCAAAACGCTCGCACAAGACAGAAAGGGAACACTCCAGGACCTCGGCAGTGCGTTCTCGGACATCCTCAGCCCTCAAGATGCTTCTTGGCCTTTGAGCGGAAATCTTCCTAAACCTTAAGCCCTAAACCCTAAACCCTAAACCCTCAACCCTCAACCCCAAACCCTAAACCCTAAACCCTTGTGTTCAGCCTCTGAACGAAACGCTCTCAACCGAAGGTCGCTTTGTACGGAGTGCTGTGTGGTCTCGGCTCGCTGGATCGGGCAGAGGCCCCATCCAGCCGGAGTGAGTATTGGTTGTGTTTTTACGGAGTTAAGTGCATGTGTTTGACATACTTTTTCTACGAGAGGGTGTTGATATAAAGTTCCTGGGGCTGGCGACTACCGGGAGGTGCAGAGCAAACTTCTGGACTCACCGACGTTTCGGGAGTGCCTGGACATGGCCCCGCTGGCCACTGAGTCATGTGCACGGCATTTCATCCCTGGACAGGATAGCTCGAGAGTCACGCTGTATGTATGTAGGTTGCCCTGCTTAGACTCGGACCTGGGCCATCAGACACAAAACGTTACCACGGGTTTATCCTGAAGTCATCTATCTGTGAATAGCACTCTCAGTGCTCTCAACCACGAGCCCGCACCTGAGGCAGCTTCGTGACTTGGCCATCGATTTCTGCAGCTGCAGGTCCGACAACAAGAACCCCCAGTACTTTTTTTCCATGTGAAAGTCTGCAGATTCTGCGCATCGGAGGGCTAGCCTCTAAGAAGTGGCAGCAGGTACGCAGCCTGTCTAGCTTCGTTGGAGCGCTTGAAGGACGAGGGAAAGTCAGCATATGTCAGCGCGGCCTAGTATTTCGGTGCTGCGAGGAACCGCTATGCTTAGATGTTCATCTGAGTGGTCAAGTGGCGGGACTCTCAGGGCCAGGCACACCTTGTATGGGCAATTGTCAATGTGTGGCAATCGTATTCTTCCGAGGCCAACCTCTGTGAACAGATCCGGAGCAAAGGCAGCTCTCTCGGAAACAGTGCCCATCAAAGGCCCACAAGTTGCTTCATCACTGACCGAACGTTCACGATTGGCACCCAGGTATTGTGCAGTACTTTGCCCCCTTTCTGTCCGTGTCTCTTCACCGAATGGCAGAAGCCTTCAACACCGATGTTGAGTCAATGCAGAGGGAGGTCAGAGTCTCAAGAGTCTCAAGAGAGCTTCAAAAACGGGCTTCCAAGAGCGGCTCAAGCCGTTCATCCGAAACCCTATGCACATCTCTGCACCTACACACTGGATAAAGCAGTCAAGAGGAGGAACAAAAGGCCTTGTCATTCTTTTGTAGCATGCCTTCAGATCTGACAACACACCCTTATATACCAGGTTGCAAAGCTCATCGGGCAGCGGCAGTTGGACGCGAAGATCGATTCGCACAGGACAGTCTCATCCAAGCGGGACGGCAGGTGAAACTTTCACATGGGCATCGGACCCAGCCACGACCGCACAAGGAAGATTCTTCACGCAAGCCACGCAGACCAAAGACGATCAACGTGCTCATCTCCCATCCGCAAGTCTTGTGCAGTCGTGAAGAAAGCATCCTGAAGGTACAACAACGCCCTCCGCGTTAGCAGTGACTTTCTGGTGGTGGGCTTAGGTTCCAGCGGGCATGCCTGCCTTAAGTGTCTAAAGTCTAAAGCATCCGGAAGCAAAACTGTCTAAGGACAGCACGCATGCTCTCATCCTACGCATGAACTTGTGACTGGGATGCACAGCGCTGTACGGAATTGAATCACCGAGCAGCGTGGCTGCTGGCGCTTTGCTGTCAGTCTGTGCAATGCATTGTCCAGGTTGAAGCACGACTTTGGCTCGAAACTCGGTGTCTGCGGGAGGCAGCAATTGACGTTGATGGGCTACACTGTGCCAGCCTCAGGTGTCCACTTGGTCAGGCAGAAGAAGTGAAGTGCAACTCCAAACGAAGCAGATCGCCAGCTTGCGCGCGTGAAAAAACCGTACGGCAGGGCGGACTCAACTGCTGCTGAAAGCGTGGCCGCACAAACACGTGTGCCAGGCGCAGCCGGCCTGAAAACTCTGAGCTGCAACCTCTGTTTCACCGACTTCACTTTCACCTCAATAATTAGAAACTTTATGGCTCTCGAGCCGCAGCAGCAGAAGGAATCATAAGGTTGCTTTCAATTGAGTTGTGTTGTGCCGTTTGTGCCATGGTAGACCTTTCAAAGACTGAAAGGTTGAACAGGAAGGAATGGGAGGACTCTCTCAATCGAGAAGACGCTTCTCTTCTATCGCAATGCTCCGTTATGCTCTCCGTTCGTACTTGTGATGGTGCGAGAAAACATGAGAAAACATGAGAAAACATGAGAAAAGAAGACGTTATGGATGGCAGTGATGGCAGAGCTTTGTCCATGGAGCTCCGGGCTCCTGGGAGTGCAGGATGGTCGGGTCAACTTTGCAGACTTCGTCAACCTGCTGAAGTGAAGCGGTGAGTTTGGCCTTTGCCGCGGTGAGTGGCAGCACAGAGGCTTTAGAGCAATCGGGTGTAAGTGAGCTTAATTCATTTGCACAAGTTTCACACCTGAAGGACAGCGGGTGGTAGGACACGAGTCGCGTTAGAGGACGTCAAGAAAAACGACATCCACGATCTGTACGAGAGAGAGAGGGAGAGAGAGGGATGGGGCGACCTCCCTGCAAAAGGTCAAGCGCACTGCAAGCAAGCAAGGGAGAGAGAGAGAGAGCAGCACTTTTGGAGAAAAACAAAGCTAAGCGCAAAACAACCAATAAAGGTAGCCAAAGCTGGGGAGTGCTAGAACTGCGGAAAGTGACTTCGCTCGCTTCGCTGCCCTCAGGGACTCCTCCCGTTGTCAAATCACGGGAATGGGGGTGGGGACGGCAGCGGAATTGTGTTCTCTCTCCCTCTCTCGCTCTCTCTCCCATACTTGTCCCCTCCGCAATCTTATAGTGTCATCCTCTCTTTCTATCTTGTCGTCACTCACTCTTGTTTCCTCTCTGCTTTTTTTTTTTATCTATCTCTCTCTCTGTCTGTATCTGATTCTGTGATTCTCTCACTGCCTGCCTTAGCTCGTGCCTTAAATGACCTGGGCGGCCGATTTCTACCGCTATGGAAGTGCCGCCTCGGCCACGCGTTTGGCCTTGCGCGATATGATGCCCAAGGGGCTGCGTAACGCAAAGCATGGCTTGAAGACTTCCCCACCATCCTGACAACCGTGACAACCTTGAGTAGAGCCGCAAGATACCAGCCGAATGATAGCAGTAGCATTCAGTAGCTGCTTGATCTGAAGGTGTACATGTTTGGTGCTTTCATGCTATCATCTTGGAGGCCTTGATCACAACGTAGCAAACGTTCGTGGCCCCTGTGGATGCAGCAGAATGATGGCCACATTGGCAACATCCAGTCCAAGTCGCAGCTGTTCAAACAGCACCAGACTGAGATGCGTCATGCTACCATGCTGCTTGCCTTTCTTGCGTCTGGTTTACCTTCGCAAGTGGCTGCCCTCAGCGCCGGTGCATGAGCCGCCTGTGAACTCGCAGCCGGGCCTCAGGCTTAAGACTTCCACAAGGTCGCAGACACCGCAGGTGGTGGAGCGATTGAGGTCCAGACATGTGCACACTTGTGCCGGGGGTTGCGGCGGGCCACAGCTTGATCTGCACTGTGCGAGCAAGTGTTGCAGGCAGAAGGGTTTCTTGGATGACGTCAAGGCCTGGACGATGTGATTCCTTGCTTGAGTGCTTGAGCGGCACAGGCTCGTGGCCGAAATGCGGCTTAATGTACAGGAATACACCGTTGCCATCAACGCCGTCGGGCGCGCGGGTGCCTGGAACCAGGCCGACACCGGCGGAATACGACTGCCTTTTTCTGATTTGTGCGGGCTTTCTCCAGGCCGTCAGCCTCCTTCGAACGTTGCTTCAGAAAGGTGCTGTCGTGGGTTGTTCTTCGCAGCATGGCTGATGCATTTGCTGCCAGTACTTCCGCACACAGGTCTCCAGCCAAACGAGATTACCTTCGGGGCGTTGACCAACTGTGTTGGAGTCCTTGGCAAGGACTGTGTGGACAGATGATTCTTGCTCCAGCATGCAGCTGCAGGTGCCATCTTGGGCCACCGGTCTCTTGCTAGTAGACGAGCTCGTGCGACGAGGCTGCTCCTCTTTCTTTCCGGGATGAAGAGGGCCCTGTAGAACTTCAAAACGGCATCAAGCTGCCCTTCGGCGCCCATCACCTGTGAATGAAGATGAACAGCTGCAGAGCTCGGTCTAAAATCAGGAGCACAGCAACCGCGCAAAAACATGAGAAGCGTGCGGCAGGGAGAGATGGTATCTTACCATTCCCGTCGCAAGTTGCCAGGCGTTTTGCTGCTGATGTCGGGACTAGCGAGATTGATTTTAACAGTGCCACAAACATGATCAGTAATCTCCATGGTTTGTCGTGTGGTCCCTGCAAGTCCAAGTGATTCTGCGTATGACCTTGAGAAGGGGTAAATCATCCGCAGTGCAATGCAGTGCAGGGCTTTTGTCGGCTGTTCATGTGACGGCTGGGACCCTGGCTGTCCCTGCTGCAGCTTCCATGGAGCAGCAGCATACTCAGCTAAGGCATTGATTCGCGTATGTGCAGGGTCTCTGGAGTGGGCGAGGACATGACCCGATTGCCAGTCTGCTCAAGCAGTCGCTGTTTGTATGGCAGGAGTTTGAGTCTCTACCAGGCGCCTGTGCCATCTGCGCCTTTGCGAAGATTACCGCTGGGTCGTCGTCACAGCTGGCGTAGTCACGGTCCTACAAGCTCATACGATCGGAATTTCCTTTTCAGTTCAAGCGCCACACAAAGACGGTGCCAGCCATCGATAGGGGGGGATTTCATTATTAGAGATGCGATCCTGTGTCCTTTGTTGCAGTCACGTTGACTTGCACAGTCACTCCAAGTTTTTGCGGAGATGAAGGATAAATCATGGAATGTAGCCCCACACTCGTTAGTTAGCTCTGTGATGCGGATGGATGGGGTGTGCTCATTTTTCGTGGAGGCCAGCGCTGGCAGATGTCATCGATATTATGGTAACTCGATCACACTGCCTAGAAGATGCGAATGCCGACCAGCTGGCTTCCTGGGTATGCAAAGTTTGTAGCAAGAACGGGCTTCGCTCTTTCTACAAACCTGGCTTGTCAGGGTCCCTTGCCCTTGAGGGAGGTAAGAGGAGGCTTCTCAGAGATGCTTTTGAGATGGCCAGCTGTGTAGCAGCCGTAGCTGTTGCCGTTGCTGTGGAGCCTGAGAGGCAGGCACGTCTTGCCAGTGAGATTGTTTGGGCCGCCCAGCACTCCAAGCCCATCATGCTTCTGTACGACTCGTCGCAGCCCTTTGACGGGCAGGCCTGGCAGGAATGCATCCCAGAGCTCTTCCCCTCACACGTCGTGAGATATTAC